CCCGGAGCCCCCCGCCGCCCCGCCGGTTGCCGCCGCAGAGGCCCTCTCCGTGGAGTCAGTCGGCGCGAGATTCGTCTGCCGCGACCACCTCGATCGACACCGCACCCCTGAGTGAACGTGACTTTTTCCTGGGTCCGCCGTTCGAAAAGAAAGACTCATTGTTCGCTCAACCCGTAAAAGAGACCCGCAAATCAGCCGAGATGTCCGGAATCACAAAGACCAGCAAGTACACATACAGGAGCACGGGCCACGGTGGCGGCGACGCCAACGTGAGCATCGAGTACTCCGCCGATCTCAGCGCGCTGACCCGGCTGGAGGTAAGCGACACCCTCCAGGGCCCCCGTCAAAGGGGCGGGCCCCGCCGACAGCCTCGTCTTCCTCCTCCGCCAGGACCTTGCAGCCTCTGCTCCACGACCGACTTTGGGATTAACACGATCTGTCCGACAAGTTCAAGTGCTTCAAAGTGCTGGTGCTGCAGTGAAGTGTGTGCGAACGTGTGTGTGTGGTGCAGTTTCAAGTGAAACGCACCAAGTGCCAAGTGAAAAGTGAACCCGCAGCCTGTATACCGCCAGTGGTTGCACATATGGCAACGCACTCCGTTGTGCCAGATCCACGACCACAAGAAGATCTTCGTGAAGAAGAAGGACGTCATGGCCACCACAGCCTCCCTGAAGGGCCCGTTCCCGCACGCGCCAGGTGGTGGGCCGGCGGGCCGTCGGCGAGGGGCCGCGGGCCTCGAATAACGGACAGCCGGCGGATATCTTCTTTCCTGGGTGTAAAAATAGCCGAAAGTTTGCGGAGGTTCTTCGGGCTTTCCTCCACACCACCAGGGAGAACAGCCTAGAGCTGAATGTATTAAATTGTTTTTGTAGAAATTCTGTGCACGATGCAACAAACCCTGTGAAAGTAGGTCCAATTTAGACGTTCGGACAGGGTGTGCCATCAGCATGCCGAATAAAAAAAATGTAATATAGGAAGGCTCTGGTATTACGAGAGAGACGAATCTGTTCCAAAATCGAGAGGTGCAGTGACAGTGGTCAGAGTTTTTATGCGTCTCTCCTCGTTCGCCACCCGGCTGGCGCAGGCCTACCCCAAGCCACTCGCTGCCTGGAGCCGCACCGGCTGCGCGGGGGGCACGACTCGGCCGGCCCCGCGGCCACCGCCGCTGCCGCCGCCGCTACTGCTGCCACCGCCGCCGCAGGGTGCGGGACGCGAGGATCTAGATTTGGGTCTGAGCGGCGGCGCGGGATACGTTACAGCGGCGTGGAAACCGGCCGCTGGGCGCTGCTGCCCCCGCCACCCCCTCCTCTCCCCTCCCCTCCACTCCACTCCCCTCCCCTCCTCTCCCCTCCTCCCTCTCCTCTCCCTGCAAAGTGACTCACCGAGGGCCCTCCCTTACCCCCACCTCCCCTACCCCGCGTTTCCCCAGCTGGTTAGCTAGAGGTGGGTAGAGCACCGTTCGTGTATCCTTAATATTTAAGGTGAATAAAAGAAAATGTTGTTTGGTTTGAAAAAAAAAATGGAAAAAAATAACATAACATAGTTTATAGTTTCTAGCGAAAGTTTCAAAGGTGAAAAACATAGTAACCAGGGAAATTTCATTGTTTATGTACCGGGTGATTCAGAGTGATATCGCACCAGCGGGTTTGCTTAGCTCTTCCGCCCGTAAGGAGCCATAGCCAAGGCCATAGCCCAGCCCTTGCGGCTGTATGGCCAGTTTGTGATCCCGCGACACTGAAAGGAGCCAGAATTTAAATATTTGTCGCCCTGGCCCGACCATGGGCGTACGTCGTGCGTCCGCCGCGCCCGCCGCCTCCTCCGCTGGAGACGCCTGGAGCGCCTGCGGAGTCGAGGGTAGGCCGACCCGCGTGACTCGCCCGTCCGGCTCGCGGCCTACCCCGCCGGGCGGCTGGAGCGAGCTGCCAGCGCCACCAGGGCCCAGGACGGAATCTGTTGCTGCTGTAGTTTGTTCCAATACTCTAAATTGTGGCAATATATGATTGTTTTGAAACGCAATAATTCGTATGTACTGTATTATTGTTAAACATTTCGGTGTGGCCAATTTTACGTAAACTTTTGGAACTGTATTCAACATTTTTCTGTACACAATTTTACGTCAACGTTGAAATGTAAAACGAATGTGTGTACTAGCCATTTTTATGCATAAATTTGGGCACGGAAATGTTGGAGCGTGTTTATAAAAATATGTTTTGTATCTTGTAAATTGAACAATTGCATCGTCGCTATAAAAGAGTCGCGACTGTCAGTTTTCTGGGGTGCTGTAGTATGTATGAAATCCTCTATGCGTTCCTAACTCCTTTCTTTTCTGTTCCAGGACAAAATCCGTCTCCTTCAGGAAGACCTCGAGTCCGAGCGTGAGCTCAGGCAGAGGGTGAGTACCGAAAGATGTACTTTTACACTTTTAAAATATAGCAAATAAATGGTCCCCATCAGCAAATTTGTTTTGAAACTGAAAACGATTTTTGGAGTTTAGGTTTCGTGCTAAGACGGGGTGGGAAATAACCCAGTGTAAAAAGTTGAGCAAATAGTGATGACACTAAAGATGTATATACGCACATTTACATAATTTCTAAATTTATTTTCGTCGAGAAAACGAGCCGTAGTATTGTGACTGAGACCGTAAATCAGGCAGCTAAAATGTTTTTATGATAATTACTTTAAGGTCGTATAAATTTTTCAGTTTATATATCTCAGTTTGCTTAATTTTAACAGCCAAGTGCAAATTTCAGGCTGCGCTAGTGTACCAAAAGAAAATAAGTATTCTTCCTCATTTTCTTCCATGTAAAACACAAACGGCGAAACACTATAGCGACACCCGGACCCGGAAGGCAAAATAACTTTTCGAGGACGGCCGCGGTGGCTCCGCCCACTCTTGTGCCCCATTGGGCCGGGCAGGCGCCGACCGCGCGGCTTGGTTTCAAATTTACTGCGACATGAAGGAAGTGAGAGTGAAGAGGGCGGCGGCTGCGCTGCTGCTGCTGCTTTCGTAAATTTAGCGCGGATTTTGGCGACCGGCTGCGGGGGCGGGGGTTGGCCGTGACAATGAGGGCGGGCCGCCGCCGGCCGGGACCACCAGGACGGCGTCGTGGGGCTGATTGGACCTAGCTGCCCTTCACTCTCAGGGCCTACACCGGGGCCACTGGCAGCCGGCCCGGTCAGGCCCGGCCGCCCAGAAGGTGTACGAGCCCGGCGGCATGTCCGCGTCCGCGTGGGGGGATGTGGCCGCGTGACGGATGCATTTCGGTAAAAATGAAATACGCGCTAGGCTAATTGCAGTAAAAAATAATATTTTTGGGAGGGGCTTTCTCTTTGTGAAGTACACCTAACAATAAAAATGCGTTTCTGGTTCTCTGTCAGTCAGTAATTCATTTTTTAAAAACGTCGATCCTGTTTCTAGTTGTGTTGTTTTCAAACGACATTTTGAAAGGGAAAGGTGGGTTTTGAAATTTCATCTTATTTTTTTTCAAAAGCGCCAACGTCAACGACGACCCTTGACGTTGACGTTAAAACAGTCACAACGCGAAGGAAATGTCACATAGGTGGTTTGTCACAGCCGAGCTTGACCTCTAAACCGTGGCAACCACACGTCTTTACTTGTAAGGAGGGGGGGGGGGGGGGGGTAATAATATTTTTTGGCTAACGAACCGTTGTCTGTCCCAACGGCTCACAAATAAAAAGATAAAAAGCTTTTGCCGTTAACGCCCCAACGACCCGCGCGGCGGTCCAGGTCGGGTGTCTCGTTGGAAGTGGTTGGAAGTCACAAGTGGTAGTGTGGTGACAGCAGAGAGGGTGACACAAAAAGAGGAGAGTTTTCAAGGAACCGTGGGGAGAACCTATGAGGCTGAGGG